GACTGGAACACACAGTAAGAAGCTATTGATACATACAGAGAATATGAAAAGGTGGGAGTAGCCAGACCAACTGTAAGAGGCCAATCAATTGAGATGAGCTATCAGCAGCAGGAGAGAGAAAAAGGGTCTCTCTCCTGCTCTCTCTCCTGCTACTGATAGCTCATCTCAATTGATTGGCCTCTTACAGTTGGTCTGGCTACTCCCACCTTTTCATATTCTCTGTATGTATCAATAGCTTCTTACTGTGTGTTCCAGTCTATGCATATCCGAAGAAGTGGGCTGTAGTCCACGAAAGCTTATGCTCCAATAAATTTGTTAGTCTCTAAAGTGCCACAAGTACTCCTGTTCTTCTTTTTGCGGATACAGACTAACACGGCTGCTACTCTGAAACCAGTCTTAAAATACTTTCCCTGTATTCGTCTTGTCTTTCTTGTTTTGTTACGTTTCACGTCTCTATTTCTTGGGTAAGTGGAGCTAATGTCAGATGAACAATGGGTTTTTCATAATAAAAGTACAGATATTTAATGTATAAAAGCAGCATAAAAATCAGAGAGGTAACACTGTTAGTTAATATGTATATACACCACTGTCCTCTACTGACTGGAATCAGAATTCACCTGTGTGTCATAGGCCCTGTACTGCTCTGAGCTCTACCCCTGCTGTTACTGAGACGTTCTGGGTGACCACAGATTTGTTAGTGATCGCTGAAGGCCTGACCAAATAAGCAAATGGGCTGCTGCCTTCCAAACAAGCTGTAGGTGATGGAGCTACCCCTCCCAGAGGGAATGACCAGACTGAACCTTGTGGTCTGGAGGGCATGTTTGTCTGTGGAAAGGTTGTCATGATTTGAGTCCCCTCTCGTCAGTTTTTAGTCTGCACCGCAGTGGCCTATCCACACTGTATGTCTTGGCTTTGTGAGTTTAGCTTTAAGGAGAGATGGTATCCAATGCTTTATGAAACCCCAAAGAGATTAATTCTACCTCATTCTTGCCATCCACTTCTCTTGTACCTGTGTTTAAAAAAGCTAATCAATTTTTTTTGGCGTGACTTCTTCTTTGCAGTCCCCCAGTGCTGCTTGTCGTTCATGGGTCCATCATCCTCTAGCAACCTGATTCAGAGCTCATTGAAGTCAGTGGAATGGTTCCTGTTGATTTCATTGCACCTTGGATCTGGCCCCAGAGGATGGTTGAATTTTATTCTCTCAGCAGTTGAGCCAGTGATCCTGACTGAAGAGACAGGAAGGAAATTAAATCCCTTATTTTTTTCCCCATGACTAAGATAACCCAGTTGTTATTTTTTCCCCTGTACAGAATGGACATGCACAGAGCAGAATTGAAGGAAACACCATCTACGCTGAGATCAACTGCAGCCCACAAGTAAGTGCGCAGTGGTCGTCCCAGATTCACTCTGCTGCTTTCAAAGCGTAGGTTTTGTTTTACATCAAGCTACTCCAGGTGCAGGCGTATGGATGAAAGGAGTCACCTCAGGCCTGTGGGACCAGATCATCTATTGGTGTAAATTGATATTGCTCCATTGATTTTTGTGGTTTTGATGGAGCGATAACAATTTACGCTAGCTGAGGATCTGGTCAGTGGTTCTTGAAGAATCATAGCAATGACGTGCTGGAAGGGCCCTTGAGAAGTCATCAAGTCCAGCCCCCTTGCGCTGAGGCAGGACCAAGTAACCCAAGATCATCCCTTGTCCAATCTGTTCTGAAAAACCTCCAGTGACGGGGATTCCACAACTTCCCTCAGAAACCTATTCCAGAGCTCAACTCCCCTGAGAGTTTAGAAAACTTTTTCTAATATCTAACCCGTTGCCTGATTTGTTGAATGGTCATTGATTATATTGACTTAAGAATTTCCAGTTGATCAGTGATTAGATCTGAGGTTTGAAAGGTTCTAGTCCCAGTATCAGCACAACAGAATGAAGTTCAATGTCTGGTTGGGAACCTGGACATGTACAATGATCACACTCACCTGAATGTTCCTATCCTAAAATATCCACAGCTGGTTTCTGTTCCTATTCCTATTCCTGATCTCATTTTACACCCCAAATCCCCTAAACACAATATTCTCCGTTCCCTCATAGCTCAGGGTTACTGTTGGGTAACTCCCTTATGCTCAGACCTCCAAGCCTTATGCTAACTACTAAAGGGAAATATCTCGCAGGTGTACGTCTGTAGGTTCCTCACATCACTGCCCCATAAAATACCTTCAGGATAGTTCTATGAGCCAGAGCCTGGAATCTCCCTTGCTGCAGATTAAGCCCATTACTACTTGCTCTACCTTCAGTGGACATGGAGAACCATTCAGCCCGTCCTCTCTCTAACAGCCCTTCACAGATTTGAAGACTTATCAGGTCCCTTCTTTTCTCAAGACTAATCCTGCCTAGTTTTTTTTTTAACTTTTCATAGGTCAGGTTTTCTAAATCTGTCATTTTTGTTGCTGTCCTTTGGACTTTCCCTCCAGCTTGTCCACATCTTTCCTAAAGTGTGGCACTGGAACTAGACACAATACTCCAGCTGAGGCCTCGCCAGTGCGGAACAGAGCGGGACAATTATCTCCCGTGTCTTACTTACAACACACCTGTTAACACACCCCAGAATATTGGCCTTTTTTTGAAGCTGCATCACATTGGTGGCTCGGATTCAATTTGTGATCCACTGTAACCTCCAGATCCCCTTCAGCAGTTCTACCACCTCCCCATTTTATAGTTGTGCATTTGATTTCCCTGCCCCGCACCTTCCTAACTGAAGTACTTTGCACTTGGCTTTATTGAATTTCACTTGTTGAATTCAGACCAGTTCTCCAATTTTGAATTCTCCGTTTTGAATTCTAATTCTGTCCTTCACAGTGCTTGCAACTCCTCCCCGCTTGGTGTCATCTGCAGATTTTATAATACACTCTCCACTCCCGTATCCAAGGCACTAAGGAAAATATTGAATAGTACCAGGCCCGGGACTGGCCTCTGTGGCCCCCCAGATACGCCCTCCCATTCTGACAGCGAACCATTGATAACCATTGATTACCTTCAATCCATAACGTTTTTGCTCGGTTCAAGTTCTAATCTAACTGTAATTCTCTCCTTGAACAGCCCCTGATAAAGGGCTGTGTTCTAGTGGTTTGTGCTAGTCCTTGGGATACCTAGTCTTGAATCCCAGCTCTCCAGCCGACTCACTGGATGCGTGAAGTGTTCTGAGAGCTAACAACCAGAAGCACTACCTTGTTATTAGTACAAGGATCCCAGGGTCAGGTCCTCAGCAGGTGTGCACTTTGCATAGCTCCACTGAAGTCAATAGAACTATGCTGACCTACACCAGCTGGGCCCTTTGTTCATCATTTGCTCTTCACCGATGTTGATTGTCTTGACTTTCCCCAGGTCGGAGACTTCACGGTGTACGCTTCTGTCCAGAGGGTGAGTCTGTCTTGCTGTGGTGGTAGCTGTATCTGTGCAAGCCACAGCAAATGGCCGTATGGGGTTCTGCAAAGGTTTCGTCTTACGTGGCTGGGCCCACTACTGTGTGAAGGGTAAACTTCCAATGGGCTTGGCAGGATTTCCCATCCATGTTAATGGGAGTTGGCAGCGTTGCTGTAGCCCTGTCGGTCCCAGGATATATGAGATCAGATGGGGGAAGTCGTCTCATTTATTGGACCAACCTCCATTGGTGGAAGAGACGAGCTTCCCAGCTACACCGAACTCCTCTCCAGGAGCAGGTGTGCGAGCTAAATACAAGTTGGGGCGGATTGTTAAACGTAAGGGGTCAGGCATGTGGTAGGAGGCCCCCTGCAAAGGGGTTTGAAGGGGCCGTTAAAGGTCAACAGGCAGGTGTGTGTTACACATTGTTGACCTGGACTGGAGCATTGCATGATTTGCACCTTTAGGTTGTGGTTTGAAAAGGGCCCTAAGGGAGTTAGACACCTGTGGTGACATTTAATGTCCAAAGGTATTTAGGGACCTAATGATGCAGATAGGTGGCTAGTGGGATTTTCAAAAGCTTAGGCACCTATCTGCATTTTTAGGCTACTAAATACCTTTGAAGATCTGGCCCCAACTTCCATTGACTTAGGCCCCTTTGAAAATCCAAGTTGCAAAGGTTGGCAGGCAACATTTTCAAAGGCACCTAACAACTTAGATGGTCCCCACTGGGAGTTGTGCTGCTGACATTAACCCTGCTGAAGTCAATGGAGCCAGGATTTCATCCCATCCTCTAACCCTGAAGGCTCGGCTAAGTCCCACTGCCAGTCGATGGAGTCCTGCTCCTACGTCGCGTAGGTGCTTTTGAAAATCCCAGAGTCTAACACACGGGTGGACTTTGGGCTGGGCATTATCAATGGTGGAGGGATCATTTTGCCTACATGCAATCCCCAGATGGCCACACAGCAGCAGCTACATAGCTATTGATAACACGGCCCCTTAGCCAGTCCCGTGTGTGGAGGTGGCAGAACAGGAGTTGGGACTGAGGTGCAGATGTTTGTTGGGCTTGGCATCAGATCTCCACGAGCCTTGAAGGGGTCACCGGGGAAGCACTCAGCACTTGACAGGATCTGGCCCTTCGCCTGCCTTTGCTTTACCATTCTGGGCCCTGCAGCCCCATCCAACAGGGGCATGAACTGTGCTATTTAGGTATCAGAGGGGTAGCCGTGTTAGTCTGAATCTGTAAAAAGCAACAGAGGGTCCTGTGGCACCTTTGAGACTAACAGAAGTACTGGGAGCATAAGCTTTCGTGGGTAAGAACCTCACTTCTTCAGATGCAAGTCCTTGCATCTGAAGATGTGCTATTTAGGTTCCTGTCCCTTTGGAACGTTACTCTTCCTAGCAGAATAAGGGTCAAAGCGCTTTGCAGCCCTTGTTCCCTGACGGCTTTGTCGGTGACGAATGGCGAGTAACAAATGTTAGCACGTGTCTTTGCTAGAGCGTGGCAGGGAAGCTGGGGTTTACTTATGGATGTTATAACCAACCGTCTCGCTCTGCTTCACAGCCTCCTTCTGTCAAGAGGAAGAAAATCAACCCGTCCCTCATCTCGACCATCTACACAGAGGTGAGGGGTGTGCTGCTCTGATCCTGCCATGTTGAACTCCAGCCCTACTGGCAGCTGAATGTCCCCTCCCCCACGCCCCACCAGAGCTAAGAGTGCCCACTAATCTCGGGGCAAAATGCTGGATTCATCCCTGTGACCCAATTCCCTGTGGTGGGGCGAGGGAGGGAACGTTTACCCCTTCTCCAGTTCTTCAAAGGGAAGGAAAGAGGAAAATCCCACATAGGTGTGGGCCAAGTTCCCTGCTGGTGTAAACCAGCTGTAATTCCATTACATCAGTTGTCACTCTGGTTTCAATGGGCACAGATCCTGAGCTGGGGTAAAAAGAGCCATCCCACTACTGGAGTCGGGGGGGGGGATAGATTCTCGCCTGGTGTAAGTAGATGCAGTCCAGGCTGACTTATGCCAGCTGAAGATCTGGCCCCACATGTTTATTTCTCCTGCCTGGGGCCTGATTCTTCCACTGCTGGGCATGAGCAGCTTCCACTCGCTCTGCTGACAGCGACTCCTCTCCGGCTGCAGCTCCATTTCAAAGCAGGGTGAGGCGGTCCTGCTCTCGCAGAGCTGGCGCTGGTGCAGTCTGACCCTGTTCTGTCGAAGCAACTACTGAGGTTCCTGTTCCCTACAGCCTGTTCTCCAGGGCTTTGTCCCTTCCGCCAGGCAAGCCAGCTAACGTGGGCTGACGCTCGCAGCAAGCGGTCTGGCTTTGGCTTCGAAAGCATTGCTGAACAGCCTGCTAATTATAAAGCGAATGACGCAAGAACAGAATCATCAGTCTTGCGTCACCCACTTGCCACTGATACCAATTAACATCTTTGTTAAAATTCAGGGCAGGGTCCCCACCTGCTGTACATCGGCTCCAGTTTCCTTTTCACGGACATGCTGGGCTCATCTCCCATCCAACCACTGACCTTGTCACTCCACATCACTGCTTGATTTTTGATGGCTAATTTCCTTACGAAAATTCTTATCCAGCCTCATGGACCTATCTCCTTTTCCCCTGCCCAAGGATTGTAAAATCAGTAGATTTGGTGCCTCTGAGGTTTGTGTGTTTGATGAGATTTCCTGTTACTGAAGCACATTCAAGGTGGTTGGTTTTTCTTGTAGGTTCAAGAAGCCCCTTCCAGACCCAGGCGTCCTCAAATGCAGCGCTCATCTTCACCTAATCCTGGGCATTTGTATTCCTAGCTTCTGCAGCCCCTCGCGGCAGGACACCACCTTCCTTTTTTTAAAGGCCTTTTCCCCGTGGAGCGACTCCTTGCTGATGGACAGACCTCCACCTGTGCAGATAAGCACAGCTTTGATCTGACCTGCTTGGATGTACAAGACTTGGGGTTCTTCCTCCTTGCACTCAGAGCAGAAATATCACAATAACAGCATCTTCATTCGTATCATGCAGTCCCAGGCCAAACCGTGAAGGCTCATTGAAAACAAATACACAGAAGGAGCAGAGAACAGATAACTGAACTTTTCCTTCATTGGGAAAGGTTGTTTGAGAAGGTTTGATGTGGAAAGATGGTTGGTTTGTGGGTATTTTTTTGTTAATTTCAACTGGTTCAACACTCCTGTGCAGTTTGCATGCAGGAATGTGTAGAGATTTAATTGCATTAACAACAGGCATTGTGGGTTAATTAGCTTATTCATAGCTTTAAAATATAGCTAAGCAGGAAAGATGCTAGTGTAAGTCATGAGTAACTCCACTGAAGTCAACTGGGCCAGATACTCTGTTGGTGTAAATCAACAGAGCTCCAAGTTACAGCTGTGTCAAATCAGGGTAGGTGAGAGGAGATTCAGCCCCTACTCTTCACGGAGGTGTCTAAGGGGCAGGGAACAGCACTGGAACTTAATGTTCTAAATTTTGGTGACTGAGTTGTATAAGAGCCCTGACCCAGGTCTCACATCATCAGTAGTTCAAGTAGGGTGGTACTCTCCAGTACACAGTACTGGCAAGAGATTTTTAGGGGATACCAGAAAGGGTACCAGAAAGACTTGGGGCTAACCCCCTCCCACTTCCTTAAAGGAGCAGAACACGGCTAGGGAGGGCATTCATTCTTTATATGGCTTTAACAGCACAATGCATATGCTAACAAACTTAAACAAAAGCTTTGTTTAAGTTTGTTAGCATATGTATTGTGCTGTTAAATTGGTCAGAGTCCTCAAGGGGTGGACGGGGGAGGGAGGGGACCGGAGGGTGTTTAAACAGTGTTTTTGATTCTGTTTCTCCCCATTGGTCTGAATTATCCATGACATTCATACTGCATCCCATCAAGTCCAAATCATTAGAGGAATGTATCTGCTTGCACTGACCAGAGGATGTTTGGATTCTGATGTCAGCCCAGTTCTGCAGCCTGACAGGTATCAGGTGTTGTCCCCAGTCTACATAGAATTCTTCTTTGCAGCCAAACTAGTCTAACGTGCATTTTGCTAACTGGAACTGGAGCAGCAAAACAAAGAAAACAAATGCCTCATTTTCCAGCTCTGTGGGTGAGAGAACTAGAAGTGAAGATTATAATGCCGGACACTGACAGCCTTAAACCGGCTGCCTCAGGAATCTGCCAAGAACTTTGCTGAAAATATGTTCCTCATCTTAGCAACGGAGCTAAGACTTATCACACATCTGCCCATCTTTATTCGAATGACGCGCCTTCTGATCTGAGATCTCAGACATTGTCAGTTTCATCCAGAACAATTTACAAACTTCCTTAAGTAATCCTGTAACCCCTTAATCATTTGATCAATCCCACTGAAGACAATGGGACTGTTTGCATGTCTATGGACCACTTTTGTGGTAAGAGTTTCAGGAGTCTGTTCTGTTCCTATAAAGGAAGTTGAATGTCCCATTGAAATGCAATGTTTGGGTACAATATCATAATGCAGTTTAGGGTACAGTTCTACTTCCAGTTTGCCTTTTAATAAGTCATACATATGCTGAAATAGCTCCTCACCCAACTCCCATATTCCATATAAACAGACTGAAATACTACATACTTTTTGGGGAAAGTGAGTAGTTAAGCATGTTGATGGTTGTATACACAAACACCTATTTCATCACTGTACTGGAAAATGTAACTGAACTTAATTTTCTATGGAATTTGAAGAAAGTTTAACAGCCCCAATTGTTTTCTGTGTTAATCAGTGCGAACCTGAAAAAATCACATGCCTTCTAAGAGAAAAGAATCAGTCCACACTTACTGAAAAAAAAAAAATTCCTTCCAACTGGTGTTCGGAAGAGTGCTACAAGACAATACATAACCTCATGAGCAGAGGGCAGAGAGGAGACCCTCCCACATTATGACCAGCAAAATAATAATAATAATTATTAATAATTAATAATAAAATCTCAAAGAGTCAGAGGTTCACAGATTTGCAAACCTAAAAACCTGTGTTATGCTTTAAACCACCTCAGCACCTACCAGGCTTATGAACATTAAGAAGTTAACTGCAAAGGAACACTGAAGCTGTTATAACTATAAAGGGAAGGGTAACAACCCTCCTGTGTGCAATACTATAAAATCCCTCCTGGCCAGAGGCACCAAAATCCTTTTACCTGTAAAGGGTTAAGAAGCTCAGATAACCTGGCTGGCATCTGACCCAAAGGACCAATAAGGGGACAAGATACTTTCAGATCTTGGGGGTGGGGGGAGGCTTTTGTTTGTGGGCTCTTTGTTTTTGGGGGTGTTCGCTCTTAGGACTAAGAGGGACCGGACATCAATCCATGTTCTCCAAATCTTTCTGCACAAGTCTCTCCTATTTCAAACTTGTAACAGCCAGGCAAGGCGTGTTAGGTTTATCTTTGTTTTCTCAACTTGAAAATGTTCCTTTTGCTAGAGGGTTTACCTCTGGTTGCTGTAGGGTGACCAGACGTCCCGATTTTTATCGGGACTGTCCCGATATTTCCTTGTTTGTCCCGCGTCCT